GGGTTCTGTCCTCGTGTACCGGTTCACAAGAGCCGATACAAAAGACCGAACAATACACAACAGCTAACCAATGACTCCTAAACAAAGAAAGAACAATGGTAATTCCCTTGTGAACCGGTACACCAGGACAGAACCACTTTTTCTCATGTAAACACCTTGTCTCGCCCACCCGAGACGAGACAACTCGAACAGAAAATACGTGCGCACACTATCACCAGATCCCGTGCGTATTACAGCTATTCTTTTCCTGTCGTGCGCCACTCTGTCGAATATATAACCTGGCCTGGCAGAACGAGGGTTAGCAGATGTCAAATTTCATATAAATGCTCCGTAGAGTTGTCTTCGGTAAAGGCTGGTTGTCTCGGGTGAGCCATAAGTGGGGCCTTTAGTTGGGTTGAAATATGCCCGTTTAATGGCCAAAAAGTTTCAAAAACCACACTGACATTTCCAGCTGTCGCATATACTGTACCTTGGTCCTTTATTTCTTGGACAACTCTTCGGTGAATTCATATATTTTTTCAATTGTTCTCCTTTGTCTCTCATTATCACTTTCTATCTACAGTTTACAATGTGAACAATGCATCGTTCAAATTACCATACGAACGAAATGCGCTTTAATTGAATGAGCGAATTCAAACCAACACTTGGGAGTTCCCGAAATCGAAAGAAAGGGGTTTCTATAAATTTTCGACCTGAGTTAGAAAGAGCAAGCTTGAATCAAGATAAAACATCTTAGGAACTTCAAAATGGAATATATTATCGAATCATTTCCGAGAATATGGTGTCGGTGTTGAAATGAATGTCAGCAGGGGAAATTACCTCATTAATGAAAACAAATGTAATTATTATAGGAATATATGTTCAGTTCCAATTAAGAGTGTAACTAAGGCGATGAACAGGCGCACAAACTATGATGACTGTTACACCCCATTGAGACCGTCTAAGGTCCGAGAGTTTAATCTTCAATCGGTAAAAGCCCTAAATTTAAACCGTTAACCGTCAAATCCGTAAAACATAAACAGCCAACCGTCAAAGCTACTCCCTTTTTCTGGCCTGATTTACTTATACTTGGTCCCCATCAATTTGGGGATATTCATAAAAGTTTCTTCTCACTCATTTAACATCGCGTTTGAATCCCCTGGCATAAATAATATAAGATGGTGGTCTCTGATTATTCTTTTGAGAGGGACGTAACTTTTATGTGCCTGTCTCACCAAATAATAATGCAATGATAAACCTGTACACTTGCAAATAGTCGGTGTCACCTTCAGCATACCTAGCCTTGGCAGCTTTCAAGTTATTTATCTCAGTCATGAAGACTACTTTTGCTGTGAAAAATAATTTTTTCGCAGCAAATTGTTTTCACTCTGGAGTGAAAAGTAGCGCGCTTACCGAAAGTAATTACCCAATTTATGCTCAGAGCATAAATATTCGCGCCATCTCAAATTTTTGACGCAAATTATACCCGGCCACATTCTCTATGCGGTGTTTGAGGCGAAATACACAGTACCTTAAAAAGCATTGTTTTTTAAGTGTGGCCGATCCTTTTCTCTTGAATGCACATATACACTCGTATAAAGTTAGGACCTACCCTATTTCCTTCATTACAAGAACACGCAGAAAAGCTTTAGTTAGAAACTTCTTCCTCTCAGTGAACTTTGATGACGTTAGCGATAGTTTTGTACTCACTGTAATGTTTATATACAATGTGGCTTAAAATAAAATAGCCGGTCCACTCGTAAATAGCCGGTCCACTCGTAAAATACACGGGAGGCAAAAGTTTAACAAAGCGTGATCATCCGCCCAACTGAGCACAAAGGTTTTTAAACTTTTGTTGTCAGAATTAAATCTTCAACAAAAAGATTCGTCACGGTCGCTGGACGATACCACTAAATGATAAAGAGAGAACGTTAAAAGACATTTCTAGAACATACCGTGATGATTGTTCCAGACAGTCAGAGGATTTCATCTTTCAATAATTTTGTAATTAATTTTCGCGGGCATTCATCCCAGCTTGTACTTTCACTGTAGTACATATTTGTGCTTCGCCTTTGGTTTCTGGGAAGCGGAGGTCAGCGGAGGCAAAACTGGGAGCGTGGAGAAAAGAGAATGACCTGCCCTCCGTAAAAACCAGAAAAAAATTGCCTGCAGAACGGACACAAAATTTTTTTTTGCACTTTTCAGCCGAAAGGAGGCAAGCACGTGGTGCAATTCCCCTCTGAGGGAGGAACGCAGAGAAATATCTGGGGAAAAAAAATAAACAGTCATCTGTGAAAACTAACCATACCTGTACTTGGTCCTGACATAGCTATATTTGGTCCCTCTCAATTTGGGGGTACTTTTCGAAAAACTTTCTTCTCACTTAACAAGGATAACGTTTAATAATAATAATAGTAATAATAACGATAATAATAAGCCTTATTTCAACTGATAAAACTAATCAGCAAACTAATAGATTGGCTGGTATAAACTAGTGATCAGCATGATAAATAGTATCAATCAAAATCATGGAGAAACCCTAGTATAAAGAACGAAAGTCTGAATTAAAATAACAAAAAATATAGAGAGATCGCTGATACTTATTTTAAACTACATAAATGATTAACTTTATCATATTCTAAAAAATACTTAAAAACTATTGCCTTAAATTTAGATAAAGACTGTATCACTCGAATGTCCTTTCGTAAAAGATTGCACTTCCTAGCAGCAGTACATTTAAATGACGTTTGACCCATTTTGGTCTTTGTAGCAACAATGTTCAATAAGGTAAAGTCTCTAAGATCTCTGGTATGAAAGGCTGATCTCTTAAGGAGATAGTTCTCTAATTGCTGTGGGCAATTTATGCTATGTATAATCTTAAAAACAAGATTAAGTCTTAGGAATCAACGTCCACTCTCCAAAGATAATAAGGAAAGCTTACTACGCATTTCTTGAGAACATGCATTCCGATTTGCAGAGAGGATAGTACGCATGGCCTTATTTTGTAACCTTTCTAAACGTTGTGAGTTGTTCTTTCCACAGTCCCCCCATACGATACATGCGTACAGCCATGGTCTACTATGGGTAATATCGTTTGTTCATAGATATTTAAAAGCACCTTTCGACTGAGAAAGGGTACAATTTTATTTAGCATCATAAGCTTGGAATATATCCTAGAGGCCAAATATGTAAATATGCTTATTCCAGCTAAGAGTATTATCTATACAAACACCTAAATATTTGAATATTTGAATCCCCTGACATCACTAATATGGTGTTCTTCTGCTGATTCTCTTGTCAGGGACGTAAGATGTATTTCAGTAATGCATTGTTTTGCGTTCGCTCCCTCTGACTGGTGGAAAACCTATCATCCGTTATACCCGTAAACCAATTGCTCTTTATATCTGCCTAGAATGATAACCCACTCGGGAAGTTGGGGGAACAAATGGAAAGTTTGTCATCACTAACATAAAACAAATTTACCAATTTTTTTATATTGATCTTACACTGAATGGAATTCCTTGCGTACTGAGTGACATGATTCTGAACGCAGGGAAGCATTGGAAATTCAAAACTTTGGTCGACTCCCCAGCTCTGCTGTTATTTGAAGTAGTTAGTGGAGATGAGTGGCTAGGAAAAGCCGACAGATTTCTTTCCCATAGATTATTGTTAGTATTTTCTACAGACCTGAACGTTCTCAAGTTGACTTAAGGGTAAAAAGTATTACAATAATTTTAAACTAGTCAGTAACCAATCATCAACCTTCTGCCCTTAGGACAAACTCGTCTGGTTTACAGTCAAACCTGTACGATCGCTCAAGTGGGAATGACTTATTAGGGCTAAGTACATTTTTCACAGAATAGGAGTCAAACGCGATAAAAGAAGGCCATTTTATGCTGTAAATGATCACCTAATGCAAAGTATCTTCTAATACGTACACTTGCTAAAAAATGCATTGACTCTTCAACAAAGAGGTAGCGCAGTGCATTGAAGAGAAAACTAAACTGAGCAGAATTACCGGTTGGACCACGAGATTATTAGGGACTTTAAGCAGTCAGGATGGCAACGCCACGGAAGACGTCGGTTAATAAATGAGTTTCTACTTTTAGTTAGAATTTCGAAAATAGCTGCATGTGTTTACCGTCTCATCGGGCGCCAGACCTCCAACTCAACATAACGCATAAAAGTAGCGTTGAGTTCCAAATGTAAATTAAAATAATTTGCCGCCGCAGTTTCGCTTCGCAGACGACGCAAGTTTTGCTGTTTTCACGTTGTTGATTTGCAAAGGACGGCTAAGAAATTATTGTACAAAGTTTTAAAACGCATGTGCTGGGCTATTGTTCTGCCAATTAGATCTATCGTTTTCCCACGTTCTCGTTGCCGTCGCCGTCGTGGTTTGCTTAAAGTCCCTCAGTTATCAAGCATAGAACTTGTGTGATGTTCGAGCGCAACCTCTGACCCAACAGTCCTCAAAAGGATGCCTGAAATCAGCGTTTGTTTTTTAGGATTCCTTAGTTTGCTTTCACAACTCAAGTCATTGATTTTCCCTAACGCCAAAGAAAGTCCCAGGTGGCCGCTTGACAGAACAATCCCACGTACAATGAGTTAGAGACTGATCAAATTAGTAACGCTGATTTCGGGAGATAAACATGGAAAAAAATTTTACTCAATAGATTATTCTTAATTGTATTCGAGTGTTTCCGTTTCAATTGAGCGTTTAATCCAGGCGGAAGACAACACAAACAGGCCGTTGAGACTCAGTGAAAGGCGACCACGACCGCTTAATAATTACAGTAATTAAGGGCAAAAGTTCGGGACGTTGACAACCAACACTTCAGTAAAGGTCTGAGGGTGATTGCTTAATACGATGCCGCTAAATTCAGGTTCGACTGTAGTAATTAGAGGTGACTGGTTAGAAAAGCTGGCAAAAATTACGAATAAAAACAACGCTGCTGCATTATATTTTAGGGGCTCACTGACTGTATACAATCTTTTGTTCACTCATTGCGAGTGAATAAATAATTACCATGCAGCACGTAGTGGAGAGAGGTGGTCAGCGGATCTTCTTCTTATAGACTCAATAAGTTCAGTTACATGACATATATAGAATCGCCATTTTGTTTCAGTGGTGCAAGTTCATTCAGCAAACTTCTTGGTGATACTGAAGGAGTCCTTTGCTGTAAGAAAAGATGGTTCTTAAGGCGTTGACACGTAAAAGCGTAACAATTAGTGTTATCCTGTTCGGAGGAGTTTTTGGTGGAGCTCTTGGCCTATATATTCGGGATAATTGGGATATTAAAGCGAGGGTAAGTCTGCGATCAATTTTTCCTATTTCGTGTACAGTACAATAGATGCTTCACTTATAATATCTAGGTTAATGCATGGACTTTGAAAATTATAATCGTTGGAATAGAAGTTTTCCCTCTGCTTCCGTTGATTTCCCAGGTAACTGTCTTAATTTTCGTTTTCATTTGTTAGCTGTACCATTAATATTCTTCGTTTTCACTTGACGTCACTTCCTCTGAGGTCAGGGTTAAAAAACCGGAAGTCGGCCATGTTGGAAGATATACAAACACGCGAAAGCGTAAGCTTGGCTGCACGTGTAGTCAGTCTTGAAGCTAAAACTGGTGATTTTCTTCATTACGCCAACTCTTTGTGCTGTTTTTAATTGTGGGTATCATAATGCTCGAGACAAAGAGTGTAGTTTCCTCAGAATACCCAAAATAATAACTCATCAGGGAGAGCAAACTAGTAAACTTTCCGC